GAGTATTGCGATCATCATGTCAATCAGACACGCAGATCACTTTTCAGAAAAATTACTAACGTTGACAGTGCATGTGGCGTTTGCCTACCGTAATCCTACCGTGTATCCCTGTCGTGAGGAACGGATATGATTTTTCTAATAAGATTTCCATAACGTTAAAGCACTATCAATTTCAATGCCTTCAGTTCAAAAAAATAAATTACCGGTTGAGCTTTTGGCACTCTAAATTTTCAATCTCAATCACTCATTTGACAAATTCAAAATCATTAGATATATTACTCTCTTGAACTCGCTTCTAATAATCACCTATACAAGTTCATGTGCCTCAGAGGAGCAAACCATATATCTCAAATATTTGATCTACGCGTTTTACTATTATACATTCCTACTTTTAAAGAAGTACTATAGAGGAAATTCAAAGCTTTTAACTCACTGAAATATGATGGTCGAAAATACAAGGAAGACGTGCGAGCGAATGTGTCTCTAAAGCAAAAATTTTAAGCTAATCGTCGTGATCTTACGTGAACTTGAATGACCTTGGTGGAGCAGGAGGAAATACACCAATGGGCAACGGTTGTAAAGAAGGCGGACTGCGCAATGGCGATCTCATCATTGCTGCAGCCAGTCCTGTTGGTGGTGTCACGTAACTATCCACGGAGGAGAGTCCTGCACCGTTTGGATTACCTGATGCTAGTCCATAGGAATTACCAGAAGTAAGAGCAGCGTATCCTTGCCCCGTATAAATTCCAGGAATAGCGTATCTAGACGTTGGCGCCGTTGGGTATACAGCTCTTGTAGTAGTAGGGCGACGAGTGGTCGTCCTTCGGGTTGTGGTTCTTGTAGTAGTAGGGCGACGAGTGGTGGTCGTCCTTCGGGTTGTGGTTCTTGTAGTAGTCGTTGGCCTTCGGGTTGTGGTTCTAGTAGTAGTTGTTGTTCTACGAGTTGTGGTGGTCGTTGTTCCCCGAGTTGTAGTAGTGGGTGTTGTTCTCGTAGTTGTGGTTGTTGATCTAGTCGTAGTAGTCGGAGTTGTTCTTGTTGTTGTTGTTGTAGGTGTCGTAGTTGTTGTGACGGGTTGAGTTGTTGTACTAGAATGTTAGAGGATCTGCGATGTATTTGAATATGTTATAGGAAGCCTTTGGCATCTTTAAGGCTCTTACTGACTGGATTCCTTCACTTGAATCTACTCTGAGCATAGGGGCGACTTTATATGACAACATAGAATAAATTACAACTTATCATCTCTGCCTGAGAAT